ATTAGAGAAAATAGTGTTAGACATAGATTTTTTTTTCAGATTTTTCCAAATTTTTTTTCAGGATTTTAATCTTTTTTCTAATCTTTTCAGAATGGAGCCACTGAGGATGAAGCAAGTGAACCATTTCCGGTGAGTAGCTAAACTCATGTTTAAATCAATTCCAAATCTGAAATCCTTAAAAACTTTAACACGAATCCACTACCCCCGCACCACAATCTCCAATAACTGATAAGCGGTCAGGTGATTCTGAAACAATATGTTCCATCTCGTGCCACCGTCCTCAAGACGAATTATTTTATCACCACTGGATTAAAAGAAGTACCTCGGAAAATGAACTGAAAGAAAACAGAAAAAAATATATAAAGGAGAAAAAAACGCCTTGAGACCTCGGAATTCGATCAGACCTGGGGCGGATGAGAAGTTCCTCAACCTAGAGACTTTATATCGACACTCTCTCGTTTTTCATCATTCCTTTATTTTTTATTTCAACCAGGGATCGGTTCCCATGGACACGCGGGTGATGCAAGCGGATTATAGATTAAACGATGGTCCGAGACAATTTTCTGTTGCTCTTGTCGTTGTCGCCTATCACCTAGTCCTCGAACCTAATCCCAAGCAATTCTCATTTTCACCCTTTTTCACTCGCATCGTTTTTACCCCCAGTCTTTCTTTTCATTATTTTCATTTACCACCCACTGATGACGTTCAATCGATTCGAATAATTTCATTTGAGGGTATAGAAATGAAGGAAAATACAGGGGAAGCCCTATCAGTGGGAGAGACATTACGAATAGATTGGGTTAGGCCTCCTGGGGAGCGGCTAATTAAACTCGTACAGAGCCAATTCTGGACATGGGGGGGTAGCTAAGACAGTCGTTATTGCCCTGGGGATGTGACCTTCTTCCTGCTCACTTTGGGGTGATGTTGGAGACGTGATTTGTGATTTGGTCACGCAAGGTATTCAGATATCTAGATGCCCTTTTGGAACTCTGAGAAAAGGTTATGAAATGGACATGCCTATTGGTTAATTTGGAAATGCTATGAAAAATGTTGTATTCATGTGGTGGTTAATGAAGGTCTGATTATGCGTTAGCTTCAAAAAATTCTAAAGAACGATGGCTTAAGCTTGAATATTTTGTCATCTTCTGCATTATGGCACTTGTAATAGAATGTTGGTGTTCTCTCCTGTGAAACAGCTAATTGAACTCGTTCAGAGGCAATCTTCCTGCTCACTTTGGGTCGATGTTGGAGATGTGATTTGTGATTTGGTCACGCAAGGTATTCAGATATTTAGATGCCCTTTTGGAACTCTGAGAAAAGGTGATGAAACGGACATGTCGATTGGTTAATTTGGAAATGCTGTGAAGAATGTTGTATTCATGTGGTGGTTAATGAAGGTCTGATTATGCGTTAGCTTCAAAAAATTCTAAAGAACAATGGCTTAAGCTTGAATATTTCGTCATCTTCTGCATTATGGCACTTGTAATAGGATGATGGTGTCCGCTCCTGTGGAACAGCTAACTGAACTCGTTCAGAGACAATCTTTAGCGTGGGTATAGGTACCTAAGACAGTCATTATTGCCCTGGGGATGTGACCTTCATGCTCACGTTGTGGTGATGTTGGAGACGTGATTTGTGATTTGGTCACGCATCGTACTCAGACATCTAGATGCTTATCATCAAAAGCATCTGTTTCGTTTTTACTTTTGAGTAAACATGAGGACTTCGACATGCCCGGTGGCTAATCAGTAAATGCAATCACGATTATTGTGTCCAGACATCACCTCCCATGATCAATAAACGTCAAATTACTGGCAAGTCTGAAAAAGAAGATGGATTAAACTCAAATATTTTGTCATCCACTTTTGAATTATGATAGTTGTCACTAGGATCCTGGTGTCTGTGTATAGTTGGCAGGGATTGCATGATGGATAGTACGATGTATCTGGGTTATCCGTGGCAACCGGCACGGAATGAATGCTATAGTATACCAGGGCGCTGGGTTGGTGTGACGGATGAACGGGAAACCGATGCAAAAGCGACGCAGACAAGCGGCTAGTGGAGATAGCAGCACCCCTCCACCCATTCCACCCTCCACCCCCACCTTTCTAAACTTGTATACAATCCGCACACATATATTTGTACACATACACTGGTTTTGCATAGTTTATGCATCTGTATTGGTACCCTTTCCTCACTTTGGTGCTTGCTGCGATGCATATTTATGCATGACTTGTGTATACAAATGTATATGTACTAGGATATTATGAATCTGAATGTTAAAGCTCTGGGTATGGAACATCTGGGTAAAAATCCTTTCATCTGGAGGGGAAATTCATAAGACGGTTTCATAATTTGAAGTTTCAATGGAGTTGGATACATTTTTACGAATGAACTGATGATATCTGCTAGGAGTTGACTATCTATAAGAGGTCACTGAGAAATTAGTGTCTCAAAGGAAAGTATGCAGACATGCCTTCTAAGCATTCGAGGTAGAAATCCAGTCCTCATGAGTTGTCTATCAAACATCCTATTTTTGGACGGAACAATATCTAATATCAAGACATCTTCAAAACTCCATTTTTTCCAGTGATTAAATGATATTTGCAACTCCGGAAAAATTGGAGCGTTCCTATTCTCGATGATACCGGCACCCCAGATGTTCTTCAACTTCCTTTGAAGATCAACAATACCCCCGTCCCATCGAAAACTATGAAAAGCGATGATACGTTCAATGCAAGGATGATGAAGAAGTTGCGATTAGAAGCAGCAAAGCATCAAATTTTCTCGAGTGCCTGGCGCCCTTCAGAGGCGCTTACCAAGACTTTCTCGAATATTTGTGAAATAAAAAAAAAGTACCACCTCCACATGCACATCTCCTTTTGCCCTGTACCATGCACTGGTACTAATACAACTACAACCTCACAACTTTTCAAGACCTCTACAGTCAATCTGCTTAACATACATTTTTTCGCTCCACATACATTTTTTATCGGTCGCGTCGCGTCATCTCGAGACGTAATCTGATCATCTCGATGCTGTGGAGTCTTCAGGGGATGCACATGGATTCTCCTGAAGTTGTCAATTTTTTAGTTTGAGAATAATTCAGGTGAGATTCTGACATGTCTCGGGCTGAAAGACTAGGGTCTAAAATTAAGACGCCTTTGGTCACTGTTTTAATGTTTGTGTTTCCGAATGTAAGTCGATTTCCGATTCTTGAACGGTTTTCCAAGTACTTCATTAATTTTTTCTTAATAGTTAATAATGTTGTATGACAAGAGCCAATCACTTTTTTTGCATTATGAAGATGTCTTAAAGACAACATTTTTTACAGTATTCAATAGATTGATTGAGTAATTCATCGATGAATCGACTAATTGATTGATTCCTTGGAGACCGGACAGGCACAGGGGATCCCATCATAATCAAGGAAATTAATACATTTATTCAAGTTCTGTTGACTGAAGCGTTGTCGATAGCAATTAGCCAATCCACCCCTTGGCCATAGTGACTAGAATGTCGGGGGTTATCATGCCCCTGGCAATACTACTAACGATGCGTTCACGAACTTACGTTTATCGTTACTGCTCCCAGCAATTTCCGGGAGATTTTTCGAGGAGGTGAGGTAAAAAGAGGTGAATTCAACTCCAACTCTCGCTGGTTTGCTCCCCTTCCACGGAACGACCGCCCTTTCCCAGAGTCGTTAACATTTCGCTTCATGTGATTCTGTTTTTTTTTCCTCGAGGTATGAAAAAAAGAAGGGGAGTGGGTAAACAAGAAGGGGTCACAGAACGGAAGAGAATTCTTTGTTTAGATTTTGTGATTTTTTTCCTTTTTGTCTTCATTTTGCTTCGGGGTAATTATTAGTTTTGTTTTTTTTTGTTGGGTGTCCTGGTGATCACTGAACAATTGTGAGGTTCAGGGGCGGGCGGGGGTCAGTGACTATTATCTCCATCATCTTCAAGAGAATCATTGACAGAAGTTGCTCTACCAGTATCTTTAGTGCCACGGCAAGAATTTTCGGACTGAATGCCACTTGGAGATATCCTCAGACCTTGGAGATGAAAAAATGTTCCAGTGAGCCTGGTGATCCTCCAGGAGGGAATCCTGTCAACAATTCCCCTCAGGATGTTGGAAACTCGTGCTGGACATTCTGCCGAGGACACTCGTGATACGATTAGAGCAATTTCTGACACGCAGAATCCTGAAAGTGTTGGCGACGTCTTTTGAAAATCAATTGATCGTCCATACAACACTTGGTCTGGCGTGTGACGTCACAATTCCGGAGAACAATTAACCCTTCCCCACTCAATCCTAAAACGGTAATCTTTCATTAGGTTGAGTTTTTCGCGTTCACCGATAAAAATCATGTTGCTCCGGGATAATTATCAGTTTTGTTTTTTTATGGGATTTCCTGGTGACCACTGAACAATTGTGAGGTTGAGGGGAGGGCGGGGGTCACGGTGACCATCATCTCCAGTATCTTAAAGAGAATCATTGACAGAAGTTGCTCTAGCAGTATCGCCAGTGCCACGGCAAGAATTTTCGGACTGAATGCCACTTGGAGATATCCTCAGACCTTGGAGATAAAAAAATTTTCCAGTGAGCCTGGTGATCCTCCAGGAGGGAATCCTGTCAACAATTCCCCTCAGGATGTTGGAAACTCGTGCTGGACATCCTGCCGGAATGAGGACCCTCGTGACACGACTAGAGCAATTCCTGACGCGCAGAATCCTAAAAGTGTTGGCGACGTCTTTTGAAAATCAATTCATCTTGCATACAACACGTGGTCTGACGCGTGACGTCACAATTCCGCAGAACAATTAACCCCTCCCCACTCAATCCCGAAACGGTAATCTTTCATTTTGTTAAGCTCTTCCTATTCATCGATAAAAATCATTAATAATCCGTGCAAAACACAGCAACTAATAATAAAAAAACATTAGCCAAAGTGATGGCAAAATAACTCCACAAATTACTTGCCGCCAGTATCGTCTTAATTAATCCGTTAACTCAAGAAAATTTAATAAACACATTTATATTTATGGGACATGATAACGTATTTGGAATTCTAGAACAGGCAACCACCTAATTATTCGCCACTTGTCAAGAACAGTTACTTCTCCAAGTTTACCACCCGAGTTTTCGCACGCGCAGATCGATAGGAGGTGGTGAGGGATAACGTGAATATAAATGGTTTTCTTAATTGCAAATCTCTAAACGTTAATAACTTTTCGCAAAGACGAGATGAAATTTCTCACATCCGTCATGTGCCATGAATAGATTAAGAGAATTTTTTGGTCGCTTTTAATTTGGTAATTTTCTCATTAGGCTTTGGCAATTTTTCACACTTTTGGGGGTGATTTTCCCATCAATTTCGCTGGGGCTTGATGACTCGGCTCGCTGGTGGTGGCAGTTTAGTGAAGCCAGAATTATCGAATACAGGGAGAAGATCACGTACACGCTGACCAGCACCAACAGCAGCTAACTCCATCCATCTGTTGTCAGAATTCCACATGATGAAACTTAATAGACGATTTTTATACCTTACCTTATTAGGTACTTGAATCAATTTTCGGTTTATATACAGTTGGCGCTTGTGATACTCCAAGAGTATCACTAGTCGCAATTTTTTATGTGAAGAAGAACAGTGCCAAGAATATAGTGCGATAATATAATAAAAGTAGAAATTCTATTTATCATTAATCACTTAAACTGCTAACGCATAACTGAAAGTCCGTAAGGAATTATCTGTTTCGTAATTGTACACAAAATAATTGTATCTTTGCTGCAGAATAAGCTAGAAAGTGCCAATGCTTAGAAAAAAAAGTTACTTAAAATGCGGAGAAGAGCAAAATTGATTCAAGCACCTAATATTGAATGACTCACCTGCTATTTTTGTACTTGGTGAGTGATGGATTCGCGGGATTAGGCGTTTCAGTCGGAAAATACGTGGCGCCGTAGAAGTCTAGTCCACGGCTGAGCAGCATGGATGTCTCTTCAACACTCGCCAGGGTGACTCGTATTATCGGTGGACCAGTGTAGATTGTTGATGGCTCATTTGCATTCTGGGTGTCGCCCTTTAATTTATCATTGATGGCTTTCACTGGGGAGAGACAAAGAACTAGAGTTTGTTCAGGAGTTTGTGAGGTTGATTATTGAGTTCAAGAGCTAAGTGTTTAGCGATCAACAATGAATTTTCATGAATTATTCACGGAGCGCTGTTGGCAGAGTGGTGGAGCGAGTTTATTGAGTTTTCGTTCATTAGTTCATTTGGGGAATAAATTACAGCGGGAGGTGGGACAGTATCAAATTTCAGGATAAATAGTCATTGATGTTTGTTGATGATTGTTCCGGGATCGCGGAATATCAGAGGCGAAAAGTTGAAAGTCAAATGTCATTGAAAAATGAATTACACGTGATAGGAGGACATGATGCGCACAATAATCATTCGGAAGCATATTGCTAATTTCTTAGCGAAAATAACTATGCCGTATGCAATACAAGAGCAATTTCCCACTTGTTTATTATATTTTGCACGATATTCACTCCCAAATTAGGACAATGTACTCACAAACGGTTGCTGTGTTCAACGGCAATCTGGTGACCTCGACAATGGAGCGATACTTGTACAGGGCATGTCTTATGTCATCCTCCGGCAATTCCTCAGGTACATCCAGCACATAAACTGTAAATATCTTTGCCGGTCTGCATGGTATTGCAACTTTCTTGTAGAATCTCGCACCAGTAACTTTGTGAAAGCCTTTCTTGTAAACAGCTTGAAAGTCGTCGATATTGCTGAACTTGAAGAGAATTCCCGTTGCTGTTTTCGTTAGCGAGAAAGCACCACTGTAATAGCATTACCCCTAATTACATCGTTATTCAGAAAATAATGAGGGCAAAGGTAAAATCCAATTGCAAGGCTGGATGGCGGGAGGGGGGGGGGCAATTTCCGGCTTTGGTCGGTAGGATTGTACCCATTTTAGTTGATTAGATCCCAAGATATGATCGATAAATAAATGAGAAAAATTTTCAATTCCATCGATATTATGTTTCATCTGCACTTGAAAAAAATAGTGCCTTCAGTCAAGACTCTTTTGTCTCCTGTCTTGAGACGTTTAGGTCTTAACGTTTTGAATTAAGACCTTCAGAGATACTTTGTAGACATTATAAGTGGCATATATGGCATAGTAAATTTATTGGAATAATAACGCAATATTCAACTCCCAAAAAATCATAAATTTCCGAGTTTATGATTTTTCGGGAAAAATAAGATTTTTGGAAGAATTATGAATTCACCTAATTCTATTGATTGTTGTATAGAATATTTTCCATTAATAATAAAATATTCTTTGAAATAAAATTTTTCAAAAGTATCGGTCAAAATTAATACAAAATTTTATAGAAATCCAGTAGAATTTTCTAACGAATTCACTGGGTTTTTCTGTGAAATGTTCGTACGCGGCATCGTCTGTTCCACAAGCCCCTCAGACGACCAATCACTCGTCAAAAGGTTTTTCCGCCAAAAATTTAAATTTTCAGGGTGAAAAAATTCCCAGCAAAACTCGAATATTTGAATGAATATATTTGTAATCTCCTTTAATTGACCAGAAAATGGGTAGGACCTTTAGTGTTCCATCAGCAGCGAGTATTCAAGTGTCGTAGAAAAGTCCCTAGAGGGAGCCAACCCCCTTATCAAGACCAAGTGGCGTGTTGAGAACATGCATTTATTAGTGCTCATGTGGATGAATAAAAAGGGGTGAGGGCACGTAAGGAGGGAAGAGCGAGGGAGACAGAGCTTGATGGGTGGGGGTGGGGAGAGGGGGAGGGGATAGTCAGTGGGTTCTAGAAGTGGTGGCATATCGTTAGGGTGAAGATGAGGAGGCAAGGGATGCCAAGAGAGCCGGAAGTTCATTTTCTTGTGAATGGTCTTGCAGTCATGTGCTTGCGCTTGGATGAAGCCAAATGATGATGAAGAGGAAAAAGGCAATTGTTGAATATTTCAGGGGGATTCTGTCTTAAATTCAAGATTTCGGGAAATTATTAGGGACCGGTGGCCAGCCGACGGCAATTTCCGATTCCGCTCATTGTTATTCGGATTATTTTCGTTAATTATACCCTGATTTTTTTTCATTTTCTTTTTTTGAATTAAAACGTCTTGTGCTGCGCGGAGTAAGGGGTGAAGGATGATCGTCATGTTGGGTTTTCAATGATGAGACAGGTTGAGTCACTTATCGGGACTGGAAAAAAATTGAATTATGAGAATGGGAAAATTTATTTTTAAAAATCCGGAACAATTCCTCCCCTTAAGGACTAACAGAAGGCCATTATTTCCTCGAAATTTTCAGTAGTAATACCACTAGTGCTTCAAAATTAACGGATATTTTCCAATAGCTTCGTTGCCTAGGAACGATTGTGTCAAATTTTGCAGGTTTAAAATCCCGAGTGCGAAGCATGAGGGATTTTTCTGCACAATTTGACACACTCGTTCCTAGGTACGGAAACTTAAGGAAAATATCCGATTAATTTTGAAGCACGAGTGGTATTTGATGGATTATTTTTCCACTCGGATTTCGACCAGCAGATTGCAGTGAACAGCATCCGGATACATTTACACAGCCATACATTTACAACCCACTTTTTTGTTTATCTGTCACACATAATATTAAACGTGAAATGCTTTGAAAGATGAGAAACATTTGAAAAGCTACTAGTGAATTTCCGTCGGAAATTTTTTAGAAATTTCCGAAATAAAACTGTTTGACAGCCTCAAATACTGCGCTCTGATTGGCTGAAATCCGAGTGAGAAAAACAATCAAACAAATTTTCTACTCAAAGTTGTTAATATTTTTTGAACCCAAAGCACATTGATCTTCATCATCGCTTCCAGGAGATTAATGTGTTTGGATTTGTAAAAATGTCGATAACTTTCAGCAGGAAATTGGTTCAAAAATTTGGCAAATTAGCGACATTCTGTTACCCCTTAAGGGTATCCGAGTACTTTGGCTGTTTTTTCTCCAGTGAAATGCTTTTCTACTTTTCCAGTCAAACATCAGAGCTTTCATTTGAGCCCCATTTAACCTAAGTTTCCGGACACTTTACAATGATGATATTATTTAAACTTTGCAGGTGGGAATTTGAATCTCGATATTGAACCGTCAGAAAACATTTTAAAAATCTGAAAAAAAATGAGAAAGTTTACTTTAGAAAAAAGATTGATGAAATCATTAAAAAATTGCAATTTCGGAAAATTACGAGCATTTTCTAAGAATAATTTATAAACAAAGAATGTTTAAAAAATAATAATTCTGTGCAAAATGTCATTTGAATAACGCTGAATATTCATGACTTTTTTCAATTTTTTCTCGCGCAATTTAATTGACATCTTTGATTGATGAAGTTGTAAAAGATACTTGGATTTCCTTAATTACGAAGAAAAAACTCGTAAATAATGAAAACTCACCGGAAATTCATCTTGTCACAGATGGTCGCAGCCTTTTCCATAGTCAATTCATGGCTGGGTGTAAGTAAAAATGCTCCCTTTGTCAAAAAATCATTCTCACTCATTTCCGAATCCGAATCCCGATCATAATCTCTCTCCTGTGCACCAGCACCCTCTTGATTGAGTCTCAACGTTGAATTACTCTTCGATGTTGACATTTCCTTGTCAAAGGTAGGACTGACGTTGTGTTCCGATTGCGACATGCTCTTTTATACTCGAATGATTCAACAAATTAAGTTGATGTAGTAGGGATATTATAAATATAAATACGTCTGGGTAATGTAAATTAATCCAAAATTACTTTTTGAATATCGTTACGTACGAAATCGAGGACAAACCGCTTGGTAACGTTCGTCTTGGTACACTGAGCGCGCCTTATGGAACACGACTCGCCTTTTATACTGCCACATATATGGTAATCATCAATTCTTCAGTTTCATTTCGTCCCTTTTTTTTGTTGTTTTGTTCGATTGGTGGTGCACAGCCCATGAAGGCAAAAACGTTTGACTGTTTGTTTGTTTTTTTTTTTCGTCCACTGCTCGTCTCGACTCAACGATGACCACTGGGTGGGACGCGATGTCACGACCTTGATCATGATTTCATGAGATCATTTTTCCGGGTGATATTTGAGGTATTTCCAGTGGCTTGGATGAGAATCTTATTTTAACATGTTGTGTTGAGGAAGTATTTCCATTTCGGTAGTGATTATGCCACGGAAACAGTCGATTTTGGGAATTTTATCTCAATAGTTAATGATGCAGATGGATTGCAAGATAATCGGTGAGATAACACATTTGATAATACTTTGCTTCAATCGAGTTAACGGCTCAGGATCTTTTAATAATTACACCTTCCCGACGCAAGATAACGTTCAGATAATTATCTACTTGTATTTTATCTTATTTTCATCTTCACTTTTGAAGCATCAATTTTTCAACACTTTAGTCTAAAATCCTTGCCAGAAACCCATATGAGAAGCACATAATAATACGAGATAAAATCGAGATAGCTATCTATTAATCTACCATCTAGCTTATCTGATGGTTTTCTTTAATTTTGGAAGCATAAGTTTCTCGCAGCAAATTAAAATCTTTACATTAAAATCTCATCAACACACTAGATGGAAACAACACAAGATACAATTAAGATTACTACCTATAACAATCTATTAATCTATTATCTATCTTCTCTAGTTTTTATCTTCAATTTTGGAAGCATCTGTGTTTTAACACTCCAAATAAACAACTCCATCGAGATATTAAAAATAAATACAAATATCTACAACTGCTAATCTCATTTTTATCTTCAATTCATCTCTTGACTCAGCAAATTATCGTCCTCCCCCCCCCCTAGTATCACAAAATCTATTACATCTCCAGGTAATGCGATTAAAACAACAGAGAGACTTCATTAATTACCATTCCTCAAATGAGCGATCGATAATAACGTCCAGGAGGATAATTGGAAGATGTATCCCTCACAATTGATCGCTCCAGGTCTTCATTAATCCATCATCTGAATTGTTTCGTTTCATCAAGAATGATTACAATGGGTTTAATTAAGTGAAGTGGTTGTTTTTAAGTATTTGATGAAAAAGGAGAGAAAAATTGATGATTAAACGGGAGAAAAAAAACATTGTGAAGGAAGAAATACGATATCCGCTCGACCGTGACACTTAAAATAGACCCCGGCATTGGTGAATTTATCGTCTCATCGAATCATCCAATTAAGCACCCACTCGATCCATTGTCCGAGCTTGGCGGTGGAGGTATGAAATAATAATGGAATGTTTGGGGAAAAAAAATTGTTGATTGCACCACCCACTAGTGGGTGGGGACTTTGGTCAGCACTTGGGTAATTTTGACGGGTAATTGAATGGCTCAGGTCTATTAGGGATCATTCGGATCAAGGTTTGATCTCGGGGAAAAATATTTATTTACTTTTTGGAAAAAAAACAAAAGAAACAATGAAAAAAAATATTTCTGGGTTTTTTTTTCAAGATGAATTTCGGGTACTAAAAATACAAAACTGTTACTGAATAAAAAAACTATGGAAAAAAAAACAATTTGAATAAATTATACGTGGAATTTTATTTAAGTTGAATTTTCGTTTACAAAAAATTCAAAATTGTAATTTGGAGTAGCCGAGAACAATTTTGACATGCGAAATCGGATTTCTAATGGAAAAGCAGACGAAAAATGGTACTCGAAAAAAATTTTCCTAGAAAAAAGAATAAAAAAATTTCGGATAAAAATTATTTTTTCGATAAACAGAAAGAAATGATTGAGGGCTCCTTTTCCTTTTGGGGAGAAAATATCTTTTCTAGAAAATGAAGTCAGAAGAACTGTTACTGAATAAAAAAAAACAGAACAATAAAACTAAAAAAAAACAAAGAACAAAGTTTTAATAAATTAAAGAATGATTGAGGCCTCGAGACGTATTTTTTTTGTGGAAGAAAATATTTTTTCGGAAAAATTTAGTAATAAGAGCTGTTGCCAAGGGAGAATCAACCAGCGACGCAGCGGCACGTGACTTAGATCGATCCCTAAGCACACATGTAACCTCATTTCAAAAGTTGGGCTTGCATTGCGAGCGTTGAAAATGGGCCATGAGTCTCTGATTGCTTTCTTCCCCCCCCCCCCTCTTTTCAGCCCTCTTTGTGTACTTTTTTTGTTCCTCACCCAAGTGTTACCACAAAGGTATTTGAACACTTATTCCTCCAGGCGTTACTTCGACTCGGTGTCATTAAACCGGGGAGAAGAATTGCGGAATTGTGGGAGTGTTCGCGGAAAGTGGAATATTCAAATTACCGAGGGATTTGAATAAAATCACTTCGCGAATGTCTGCGGATCCCGGTGACGAAAGAAAAAATTGTGGGGAGATGTAGAATGTGGGTGATACCGTGAGTTAAATGTGGAGGGTAAATGTTGACAATTAGGGGAGGGTGGGGCAAAACGGCCCCCCTTCAATTGTCAATAACTTGTGAATGACATTGTGAAAATTCCCAGTTTCAACTTCATTTTGAAGATAATTTTTCATTCTTCAAAACGAGCTCTAACTCATCCCAATCGGATTATTGAATCGGAAAATATTGACGATTGAAGGGGGGCCGTTTTGCCCCATCTTCCCCTAAATATTAATTTAACCCTCCATATGTGACTAGACGGAGAAAAAATTGAAGAAAAAGTACTTAACAAGTCAAATAATCCTGGAGTAAGCTCGATTTCTAGTACTTTGGAACCCTAGATCGGGGAAAAAGTGCGAGACAAGAGAAAAAAAAACAATTTGTACATTTTGTCAAGTTGAAAAAAATCATAAGACAAATCTAGCACTTTCATTAAAAAAATCTACTGAATTTCTATTGAAACTGTAAGTCTGTTGGAGTTCCGTGAACATTTTATCAAATAATTCCATTAGTTTTTTGCGTTATTTCGATTGAAGATTATGCAAGTTTAGCGGGTCATATTAAAAAAAAACGATTCTAGTCAAAAATTGAAAAAACAATATTTTTCCTTCGTTTTCACCCGGTATTCAAATAATTTTTTGAATCGATAATGTTTTATGATTTGATAATTTTCGTCACCGAAGCCTCCACTAACGAAAACGTCAACTAGTCAGCAATATGGCGCCCAATCACGGATAAACGCTACATGGCCGACGCATAATAAAAAATATAAGGAACAAGGAACGAGAATAAGGAACAGGACGGAGGAATATGAAACAGCTGACTGGAGGTCGGATATTTTACGAGTCTGGGAGCGTTAACTGCTCCTAGGAGCATCAAAACGCAACCTGAAGTCAGCTATTTCTCTCTATCAAGTCTATGGCTGCTCATCGCCAGCTATCGGTCGCAAAACAGGACGATAGGTGACAGTTAGCGGGACTCAGTGATGAAATAGTATATTATGTCATCAGGCGATAAAAGTATTATCACATTCGCCAGATAATGCTTTCATCGCCATGTGACATGATATTTTATGTCGTTGGGCCCGAAAACCGCGATCTAACCGAGCAAAGCGAGGTTAGAATCGCGGTTTATCGAGCCTAATGGCATAACAGTACATTATGTCATCAGGCGATGAAAGTAGTATCTGACGAATGTGCCTTTATAATCTGAGCCGAAGGCGAGAATTCCAATCACATTCGTTAGATAATCCTTTTATCGTCGTGTGACATACAATATTTTATCTCATTTGGCCCGAAAACCGAAATCTAACCGAGCGAAGTGAGGTTAGGATCGCGGTTCAGTGGATCTAATGACGTAAATTACATTTCGCTCCACGATTATACCTTTCGTACAGTAAGATTTGCCACCTTTTCTCTCCTCATTCTGAAAAAATTTGAGGTTTCCCACTTTTTCCAGCCCACTCCTCCCAGATATCTGAATAAAAACCAGAAGAGTCGGATTTTCAATACCATGAATTTATAGGTAGTAAGAAAGAAGTAATTTCCACCACGTGGTCTTTGATCAGCTCTGATTGCCTCCACTTTGATGTACGTGAGCTCTAGATTACTCCCTGGGATTACACGGTTCGGCTCAGCAGTGATGATTCCTGGCCCCCAGGGGGCTGGAAATCCATGTCATCTTACAGATTTGTTCAGCCTGATTACAGGTCTGATTGTAAAATCAATTTGCCTAGTTTTTCATCGTTATCCAGGATTTTCAGTGACTTCATTGGTAAATTACATCAACCTGTCGAAGCCTCAAATTCAATGCCAATGCTCGAACATCGTGTCAACTTCAATCTCCACTTCCGTAATTAATTAAAAAATGCTAAGAGAATTAGAATTTAGAGAGAAAAAATTTCCGCTTCACCCAGCCGGGAATCGAACCCGGGTCTCCCAGATACGCGCCGGGCACTCTTACCGACTAAGCTACCGGGAACCACAGAAATTCACTCTCAAATTCATCTCATACACCGCCTAACCTCCTTTAGGCATTAAAGAATTCTAAGAGAATTAGAATTTAGAGATCAATCAATCGATCGATCGATCAGGGATATAAATTACTCTGTTGACAATTTTTGGCTAAACTAAGCGGTACATTTCTTGAAAAATATTATCACATTATAATTTGACTGAAATTTGAAGTTCAAAAATTCGAAATTCCAGTGAAATTTCAATTTCAGTGAAATATGAAAGTGTATGATTTAATTGCTGATATTAATTACTAATGAACAATCGATTATTTTTTTTCCATTAGTGAACCTCTCACAGTGAATATGGAAAGAAATAAATATCCGGTATCTCCCGAAAAACCCGTGGAAACCTATAATTCCCGCGGATCTTCCTGAAACCATATTCCCTATCAATTCAACTAATGAATTCAATAATCCGAGATAATTGCCCCCAATTAAAACCCTTAGTACTCTCGCTCCTCTCGTCCCACCA